TATTCCTATTAGTAAGTAAACCCTCTAAATATTATAAAGTTAAATATATACCTTAGCTAAATAGATTAATAGAATAGTAATAGTACTAGCTATATAGTATAGGGCTAGTAGTAGTAGCACTATATATAGTAGAGCTAATTATATTAGGGCTAAATAGGTTACTAAGGCTCTTATAGCTAATAATAGCTTTACTAAACCTTCTAATAAGGTACTGTAAACGCTATTATAAGAGAGATAACTCTTTAACTAAAGAGGTTATCCTAAGAGGTTTTTATAGCTAGAAGTATAAAAACTCTACTACTATAAGTAGAGCTTTATACCCTTCTTTCTTCCTCTTTAGCCTATAATAAATCCTTTATAATATCTATACTATATAAAGCACTTAAGTTTACTAAATATAAGCTAAGTAATACCCTTATCTCTATAAATAATACGTAATATATTTAGAATAACTTTAACTTTAGTATACTTAATAAGAAGTTCTTATTTAAAGAATAATCTAAAGAAAACTAGAAATATATTATCCTAATAACTTTATTAATAAACTTCTTAGAAGCTTCTATAAGTAGTAATATTATCCCTCTTATTAAGAAAGTCTTAGATAATATTAATATAGAGTTTAATTATATCTTTAGTTATTTTAATAAGTAGGACTTCTTCTCTAAAGTACTTAAAAGTACGAAAGAGGATATAGGCCTTATATAAAGCTTATTAATAAGTATACTTTATACTAAATAGAGAGAGTATTACTAATAATAGTATAGCTATAAAGGTATTAGCTAGCCTAATTAAATAAAAAGAGAATAATAGTAATAACTTAATAGTAAATAGCAAAATAGTAATAGAGATAGTATTTAATAGTAGTATAAGTGATATATAAGAGAGAGGATAGGTTAATAGTTTAGTAGTCTGTAGTAATTAAGTAATTATAAACTATATTATTATTAAAATAAAGTTAAAGATTATAAGGTTTTCTAGTATAATATATATATATATAAGTGTAGTTATAGTTAGGAGAGTTATAATTATATAACTGAAGGCTATATATATTATTAGGAGGTGTGGAGTTAGGAGGGTCTATCGTTCTAAGTAGGTAAAAATCACTATAAACAGCTAGAGGCCTTATAGACTTTATTTATAGTTAGCTTATTAAACTTCTAGGTATATTCTTTAATCTTAATAAAGATATAAAAAGCTAAAACTATAATAAAAAGATTATTATTAATTATTTCTTTTAAGAAATTATATTAGATCTTCTTTATAAATAACTATTTAATAAGTATAAAACTTATAAATATTAGATTATTTAAAAAGTTTAGATCCTTAATTACTATTACTTTATCTTCTTTAAAAACTATATTTCTATTATATCTATTTAATATCTTTTTAATTATTAAATAGAAAAGTAATCTTATTATTTTAAAAGTATTCTTAAGATTAATCTCTTATAATTTAAAACTTATA